ATATATATATATATAATAATACATGTTATATTTAATGTGAAAATTAAATCAGATTGTTACCTCGCTTTCACGGCTGAGTCTTCGAAATAGTTCGTCACTTTCGAACTTTGCTTTTTGATCTGGTACAACCCGTGGCATTTTTAATGCATAACGAGGCCTTGGTTGTTCGTAAAGTGCCATTGCATCGAATGGTAAAACACCAACACCGAGACCGGTTGCACCGCCGGCGTGCTCGCTCATGGCGTGCATCATTTTTTCGGCGTACATTCACAGGCTTTTTTGGTTTTGTTTTTTTTTTAATTTTCCCCACTTACTTTTTTTTTTTTTTTGTAAACTTTTCTTCTCTCCTTCCCCTTCTCCCTACACCCCTATTAATATTTTTCTAGATGTTGTAAGAAAATTTAAGATTGCAACAACTCGTTCACCAATCTCTCAAAATTTGCGATGAATCAAAATTCTCACGGTTAAGTGAAAAATCAAAACAACAACAATTAATATTGTTTTTCAATGGTGTGTGTCGGATGTTAAATTGCAAAATGAATATTATTTTGTTTATTAAATAATTGCTCTATCACTCGTGTTTGTTCGATAATAATATACGATATGCTGTATATAAAAGAGAGTTCCGTACTATACAACGTCCCAATGGAAACTGACACAAGTTTACAGTGAAAAAGACCCCTTCTCGGTTTCGGTGGGCCTGTATTAAGTCACGCCCACCGACCAGCCTCTCTATCAATCCCACCCTACTCAACTACTTCCTGATTCGTGAAATCTCAAATAGATGTTTCCCCTCTCCTCTCTCTCTCTCTCCTACCATTCTTAGATATACATGTACTGTATATATGTAAAGATTCTTTTTTATCGTTTTACGTGTATTTTATATAACCAATCTTTTTACACGTATACACATGCACACCATTTTACACAAATATTATGATTATTATTATATACACCTTTTTTTTTTTATATGTTAATTTTATATTATTATATATACGGTGTTCAAAGATTTGTTTCGGTCAAACAATATAAATGTCAGTAATAATACAGTAACAATACAGATTTCAGTTATATTTTGAAAATAACGTTACATAAATTGAAATTATTTAAAATAGGGTCGAATAATTCTTCGACACCGTTTATATTTATTTATATTAAATGTATTTTATATATAACTAAACTTTAAGTACAAGTTTTTATACAGAATTTCTTTCAATATTATCAAAATATGTTTCAAACATTTTATTTAGCTATAAATACATTTAATTTAGGGATTTTTCAATGCTATGGGATCCTAGAATTGTTGTCAGTTAACTTTACTTTTATTTTTAACACGTTTATAAATATATTTATGTTCATTCTACCTTCCGTCGTATATTTGTAGAAGTTAAAGTTCTTCTTTAGAAAAAAATATGAATCAAATCAACAACATTGTGACAAGATTTTATTTATAGAAATGCAATTTTTGAAAAAGAATCCTACAAGGTCTTATAAAATAAACTGAAACTTAATAAATCATTATACATAAAACTGTTTGAAATTGATCATAACAGTTTAACTAAATATATTTGTAGAAATTAAAGTTCTTCTTTAGAAAAAAATATGAATCAAATCAGCAACATTGTGACAAGTTTTTATTTATAGAAATGCAATTTCTGAAAAAGAATCCTACAAGGTCTTATAAAATAAACTGAAACATAATAAATCATTAAACATCAAACTGTTTAAAATTGATCATAACAGTTTCACTCGAATGAATCCAAAAATAAAATTTACAGCCAAAAAAAAAAAAAAAAAATTATTCGCGTTATTTCTCTCCCCGCCTCTTGAGTTATCCGATTGGTCCGAAAGTTTCGCCAATCCTAGTCCACCATTTCGGCGTTAAGATTAAAGAATACACTCGAGAGAAGATTGCATATGTATACCCCATTTACTATATACAAGTATTATATACATTTATGTACATATGTGTCTATCTCTATGTGTACGTTGTGTTGTGCTCGTTATAAGTTGAAGATTTATACTTACACATATGTAAGTATGTAAAAACGCCATTGAACGTATCATTTCCCCCTAACGATACTCGAAAGACAGTATAACAAAACATGGCTCGTTCACTCTCCCTGAATTTTTCTCCCTTGTCCTTCGTCTATTCCAACGAAAGCTGCTTTCATTTCCTTTTTTCTTTTTTTTTTTTTTTTTTTTTTTTTTTTCTATTACGTATCACGTTACACAAGGACACATATTATATTATACACTACTTCAAGAGAAAATGGAAGTACTGTAACAATATGATTTATTACAGCAAACGTAAATTTGTGTGTGTGTATGTGTATAAAAGATAATAAATACATTTGAATAATAATAATAATAATAATAATAATAATTACGTCGTTATATTGTTAAGATTTTTTTTTTTTCATGTTAAAGTTAATCTTCATATCAAACAATAGCATTGTAATAATAATTTCTAGTAATTTCTAGTGATTTATGTATTATCTATATACACATTTTGTTTTTTATAATAATATTTCGTTTAAAATTATGATTAAATAATTAAAAAAGATTTTTGATAGATATGTAAATGCTAATGCAACCTTGAAGAAACTTAACATGTTTAAAAAGCTTACTGTTAACAGGTTTGAACAGTTTTGGGCTTATACTACTAAGGCTTAACACTTTTCAACCCTTATTTTAGTAGTCTGACATTAGTTATCACAAATTGATTAAAAAAAAATGGCTAATACATTATATTAGGAAACTTTATTCTTGTACAAAATATTTTACAAAGTTTTGTAATGGAAGATATTATTGTTCATCGACTGACAACAAAAGTTTATGTATTTGTATGAGTTAATACCTTCTTTGAAGGGATTCTAATGTAAATTATTATGCGAATAGAATGCAGCTGAAACGAATAAAAATAATCCTGATTAAGAAAGAAGCAAATATTATATTACTGTCAAGATATATTTATTTTTATTATATAAAAAATGATTTACGTTGCACTAATTTTTAATCAATTAACAAAAATATATTTGAAAAATTATATTTTATTACCGACTGTAATATATGTGTCGCCATCTATCCAAAATAGCTATTAATTCATGATACCGACTCGTAGTATAGGTGTCGTCATCTAGCGGTACTAGATGTTACTTCATTGTTACCGACTAGATAAATATGTGATGCCATCTAGCAGAACTAGCTACTACTTCATTGTTACCGACAAGTAAAAATGTGCCGCCATCTAACAGTACGAGCTATTACTTTATTGTTACCGACTAGTAATATATGTGGCGTTATCTAGCAGTACTAACTATTACTTTATCTTACCGACTGGTAAAACATTTATCGCCATCTAGTGGTAGTAACTATTATTTTATTTTACCGATCGGTAAGATAAGCGTTACAGATTTTCAATTGATTATTTGTATTTATTGAAAATAATCTATCTTCAAAATCGAAATCACATTAATGTATTGTAAAAGAAACCATATGTATGAGATTTAAATAAATAAAGTATAATTAAATTAGATTAAATAGTTTGTTGAAGTTATTTCTAACATGTAAAACCCATTCCTGAACAAAAAATCCCGATATCCCTAAGAAACAATAATTACAAAGTTGTAATTTAAAAGTAAGTAATAGTCTTATTAATATTTATAAAATCATTGGCTTATATACAAGTTTTAAAACACATCTTTCAAGTAGCAGTCTGTGGCTCCGTGCTAGAGTCGCCGACTCCTAATCCGGCATCGCGGGATCGAATCCCGCCGGTCGCAAAAAATAAAATTAATTTTATTTTAATTTTATTTTAATTTTATTTACCGCGAAAGACTTCACAGTGACGTAGTGATAGAATTTTATCACTCTTATAAAATTTTAAAGTCCTGCAAGCAATATTACATCTTAAATACAAGTTTTAAAAATCATATGATAAGAATAGTTCGTAGCTCGGTGCTAGGGTTCCCGGTTCGTAACCCCGGCATCGTACGTTCGAATCTTGCCAGCGACGAAAAATTTTATTTAATTTTATTTTATTTAAATTTTTCACGGAATGACGTCACGATGACGTAGTAGGGGGTTGAGACTAAGGGGTTGCAACACCATAATGAATGGTAAAGGGGGTGTGGCTACGAAAAATAATTTGCCGCACCCCTTGGGATTTTCTAATCCTATGTTTGGGGAATATTAATTTTTTGACTGAGAAATGAAGATTTTTAAAATAAAAAAAAAAATAGCGCGTGCCACTTCCTTGCATATCATGTGATCCTGTTACAAATCTTGATTTTTCGAGAAAGTTTCGAAAACTTGTCGAAAAATTTCTTTTGTAACAGGAGAACATGATGTGCGAGGAAGTGGCACGATTTTCGGCGATTCTTGGAAATGAGGTCGACTTCCAAGAATTCTCGACCTTAATAACCTCATTTCCAAGAATTTCCGAATTTTCGAAAAACCTCATTTCCTGGAATCGCAAACTGCTCGAAAAATCCAAATTTGTAACAGGATCACATGATGTGCGAGGAGGTGGCACGCGCTATCTTTTTTTTTGTTTTAAAAATCGTCATTTCTAAAACAAAAAATTAATATTACCATGCATAGGAGTTAGAAATCCCAAGTGGTGTGGTAAATTATTTTTCGTAGCCACACCCCCTTTACCATTCATTATGGTGTTGCAACCCCTTAGTCTCAACCCCCTACTACGTCATCATGACGTCATTCCGTGGAAAATTTAAATAAAATAAAATTAAATAAAATTTTTCGTCGCTGGCAAGATTCGAACGTACGATGCTGGGGTTACGAACCGGGAACCCTAGCACCGAGCTACGAACTATTCTTATCAAGTCTATTTTAAAACTTGTATTTAAGATGTAATATTGCTTTTGGGACTTTAAAATTTTATAAGAGTGATAAAAAAATTCTATCACTACGTCACTGTGCCGTCTTTCGCGATAAATAAAATTAAAATAAAATTAATTTTATTTTTCGCGACCGGCGGGATTCGATCCCGCGATGCCGGATTAGGAGTCGGCGACTCTTGCACGGAGCCACAGACTGCTATTTGAAAGATGTGTTTTAAAACTTGTATATAAGCGAAAGATTTTATAAATATTAATAAGACTATTACTTACTTTTAAATTACAACTTTGTAATTATTGTTTCTTAGGGATATCGGGACTTTTTGTTCAGGAATGGGTTTTACATGTTAGAAATAACTTCAACAAACTATTTAATTTAATTTAATTATATTTTATTTATTTAAATCTCATACATATGGTTTCTTTTACAATACATTAATGTGACTTCGATTTTGAAGATAGATAATTTTCAATTTATAGAAAAAATCAATTGAAAATGTGTTTGTTAAAATCGATAATGAGTGAGAACGTTCTCGTTGCCAGAGAAACTTAGTGTTTCGTGGACTTTCACGAATATATCGAATAAACATTTCTGACGAATATTTGAAGTAGGTGGAATGTCGTTGATTAAGAAACAACCATATAAAATGTCCAATCAAGATGATCACTGTAAACAATATCATTTTAAGGTTAGTACATGTCATAATAAATGAATTATTTTATTTATTGAAATAATTAATATTTAAAAGTTAACAAACCTTTCTATTTTCTTTCTTTTGTACATTTCTTGTAGTTTCTTCTTTAAATTTGATTTCATTTACAGTTAAGAGAAGTTAAATCAGCCATTGATACAAGTCCACCTAAAAGTAGATCTCACGTTATTTTTAATGCTAAACGAGCACAATTGGAACGTGAAAGACAAGCACAAATACTTAAGGATAATTTTATACTTCTACAAAAACTAAATGCGATTAGATATCGAAAACGAACTAAGGATGATTATCAACGATTAATATGGCAAGAATCAAAATGTATTAGAGTACATTGAAATCATCCTTTATTTTTTTTTTTTAAATAATTACTGATCAATATTAATATTTTATATTGTACCTTGTATTTTGTTTAAATTGTTCAACAATAAATATTTGTCTTTTTGATGCTAATAACTCGTCCTATTATTTTATAATTATATTATTTCAAAATGAAATAATAAATTTTAACTTATCTAATTCAAGATTGCTACATTAGCACCATCTATGAGTCAAATTTTAAAGGTTGATACGTCAGATTCCGATATTATCATCTGTACATATTATTGAAAATAATCAAAATCAAAATTGATTAAATTTGTTGGTAATTTATCTTCTGAAGATAACATAACACTCAAACTTTACAGTACTATTTTGAACGTAAGATGGTGCTAATGTCTTCTTGAAAATTCAAAGAAGATTTAAAACTTTAAAATGATTAAATTATATATTATCAATTACTATGATATACACATAAGAAGATGTGTTTTATATAGCAGCCATTATTTTAAATGATTTGTATACTTCTGATGTTCTATATAATTCTATATATTTTTTGTAAGAGTATTAAACATACAATACCTACATTCCCATATGCTTTAATAATTATAGAATTTACTTTCATATTTATTTTGAAAAATATTACAATAGTAAACACACATTTAATAAAAGATTTTCTATACTTATACATAATTGTAAGTGTATTTCTCTTCACTGTGTACCAACCAATAGAATTAAGTAGAATTAATTACATTTTTAATAAGTGCGATACCACTCGGCATCAAATATATATATATATTACAAACTATAAATGTATGTGTTTAATTAATTTTTATTGAATGAAATGAATGTGTCATAATTAATGGCATTGAAATGCATCATCTGTCTTTCTATTGATTAAAAATCTTGTCTTGTGTTTAACTTATTATGATTAAAAAATATTGTAATTAAATTATTTAGTTAAAATTGAAAAACTAGTACCCATGTATAATAAATAGTATAAAACATTTATATATATATAGATAGATATTATAATTTGCAAAATTTAATATTATACGCTATTGAATAATTTTTTTTGCATATTCTTCATAAAATATACAAAAATTCTGAATCAGTTTCAGCTATATATTTACAATTTTCGTGCGCTTGTTTTTATTAAAAAAAAAAAACATGCAGTGTATTTGATAAACTCCGGGATTACTTGAATGTATTTTCTATAAATATATGTTTGTTTAAGTCAATAGGTGTGTAATATAAATAAAATTATTAATACAATGTACAATAACAATTAGAGAAAAAAATTCTGTTTCTAAATTATATATACTATTTAAATACTATATATATATATATGTTGTATATACATATATATTTTTATCAATCCTGCAATTTATCAGATATTACATACATGTTTAATAAAGTTTTTATTTCTAATGTTCAATGTAATAGGATTTAGATTGTAGTAATTGAAATATTTGCAAAAATGCTTCTTTCTGATACAGACAAATTCATGCGATAGTTGGACAATTAATTGTGTCAGTCAAATACCAAGATAACTACAAAATGTAAATGCTGCACAGATGCACAAGATTATCAGAAACATTCCAAACCAGAATGGTATTGTATCTGAAATGAATAAAATTTATGTTAAAAAAAAAACATAAGATATCAATTACATATTTTGTTCTTATTAAAATTAGAATTAAAAATTGATAAGAGAGAGAGAGAGAGAGAGAGAATTATTTTGTATCTACTTACGTCTAAACGGTATACTGTGTATACAAATTCTGTTATCTATAGAAATGCTAATTACAGAAGTTTCAGTATTACTAGTGATAGGTGGTCCATCTAATTTAGTTGGTAAAAATTCTAAACCAGTTACAAACATATTGTGTGCGCCAGGTACATGTAAAACTCTTCTTAAACTGAAAGCAACGTATATATCTACGCTACCAGAGAACATTGTTCCAACAGCTACAAATTTGCCATCATCTGAGACTGCTAAAGCAGATAAAGTTTCCTTATAAGGAATAGATTTGATAATATTGCCAGATTTTGTATCCCACAATTGAAGAAAACTTGAATCCTTTGCCATAGTTGCATTGGAAAGAAGGAACAATTGATTTAATGGTATATTCACTTCTGATATTCTAAATCGACATCTTTTGTACATATATTTAGTATTATTAGGTGAATTCCACGTAAGTTCTTTATTCAATGATCCACTAGCAACGTCCCATAAAATTGCTTTTCCATCTTTAGCTATGGTTATCAATGAATTACCATCAGGACTAAAATCTATATCATCTATTTCTTTTTGATGTGCTGTTAAATCGTGCAATTTTTGCAATTGGGGAAATTTCCATATTCTTATGCAACCATCCGTACCACCGGTAGCCATTAATTTTCCATTTGAACTTATGCGAACTATTCTTTGCAGTGATTCGTCATCGCTATTTAATACAATAAAAAGAATCAAACATGAGATATTAAAATAATACGATAAGATAAATAATAAGATAGAAATACATTACCTGAAATCTGTTTGAACACTGTCAACTGGTTTGATAATTAATTGTAATCTTTTATTTTTAATATTAGAATTGTCATCTTTTATTTCTTCTATCTTTCCCTTCGTTGATTTTCTTTCCTCTTCCATTTTTTCATTTGCTTTTCTATTTCTAACGCTATCCTTGGTTACATTGGCAACTTTTTTAATAACCTCACCATTCTCTAGATTGACTATTTTAGTATTAACGTTGTACAATTGACAATGATTTTCTTGACCGGCTAATATCCAGGATCTTTTTGCATTATTGTAAGTAGCACAGTTCATTACCACAATAGGACCAGTTTCGTGTCTTGTAACTTCTTCAGCAATAAATTGCATTCCATCGTGAAGAAGTTCAAATATTTCCTGTCAATAATTTACAAATATCTATTTCCAATTAATATTCATTACAATTAATATACAAAATGTAAGAATATAAAAAAAAAAAGTATATATCTCTTACAAATCCATTGGCTATTCCAGTTTTTGAAGAACCACCACCACCACCAACAAGTATATGTCTACTAGTTAACATTTGTAATGTGTAAAGTGGAAAATTAACCCTAGCTAAGAGGCCACCTTTGTTTCTTCTTGAAGGCATTATGCATATGTTTCCTTATTTTTTCTGTTTTTTTTTTTTTTTATAATTGCACTCACTGATTATGTAACTATTTATTAAACATTTATTAAGCAATTACCAATGCTATAAGTTCCACGTTTCATAAATTTGTTCCATTGCAAATTTTATGAGAATCTTAACCTTGTACAAATCACTGTCTTAAATATAACCTTTAAAAGCTATTTTAAATATAAATTAAAACAAAAAAATTATTCACGATAAACTATAAATAAATTACTATTAAATATAAATAAAAAGTATTTGTAATGAGTTTTCTATCAGGAAATAATTGACAAAATATTGATATGAACACGTACTCAATCTGTCGCTTAGTAGTTCTATTATCCACCGCTAGGTCGCGACACTTAACAGTTCTCTTGATGGCCAAAAAAGTGATATAATTAATTCTATAATTGTTTATTATTAGAATGAAAAATTATGGAACAATGTTATGTTTATAAATATATAAATGTTTATATTAAATTATAATTAAGAAAATTCGAATTTTTCGAATGAATTATTATCGGATTTATTAAAAATATTTATTTCTCTGTCACGAGTAGTATTAATTCCTGTAAAATCTGTCAATGTTGTTGCATTTGTTAAAGAAACATCAACTTCTGATTCCATTAAAGGATAATTTGGAAATTGCGAAATTTGTGAACATCTAAAAGAAATGATCGGTGACATTACCGACATGGTTTCGGTAGACACGGAATCTTTTTTATCGACATTATTTTGAGGGTCAAATTTGAAAAGTGTTGGTACACTTTTTATAGAAGTATTTAAATCCATTTGCTTTTTTAATAATTCATCCGAAGTAAAAAATAATTTTGAAGTGGTATTCATCATAGTTGTTATTTGATTATTAGTTTCATTAATTTTAAATGGAGACGAGTGTGGTGAACGTGTAACAAAGCTTGGATTTTGATTAAGTGTTTTTAAATCGGTATCTTTTATGAACCATGATTGCCCTCCAAATGAATTTTGTTGATTTTCATCAACAATATCTAAAAATTGTTTATTTAAATTTCGTCTCGTGTTAATTTCTTCTGTTTCATTAGTTTCCATCCTAACGGTTGAATTCATGTCAAAATAATTAGCTGCAGTATCGTTCAATTGATTATTAGAAGACATTTCTACATCATCCCAATTTAAATGATGAGCCGGTTGAGTAGTGGGTTGAATCTGTTGAACTAATTGAGTCGATTCGAAACTTTCTAAAGCTTCGCATAAAGCTTTTTCTTCCTGTTGCATTTTTTTAAATTCAGCAGTATAACAAACATCAAGCTCGTGTATAAGTCCGACGATATTTTTACGATTGAATTCATTATTTTCTATGAGTTTATACATTGCTGCGACACGATCGTAACACGTCTTCTCCCATGAATTTGGTTCGGTAAAATAATCATCTCTCTTAAATTGAATACAAATAATTTGATTAATATTGTACCAAAAAAATTATTTCAATTTTGTTTATTTTCTTACCTTCATCTTAGTAACTTCTTTTTGTGCATAATCTCGAGCTTTGGTAGTAATGGAAACAGGGAGACCTGATACTTCGGCTAATGCAATACCATAATTGTCTATGGGAGTTACACCAACCATTAATTTATGTGTGTATACTAATCGTGCTTCGTTTAAACCTTCAGTAAATTTAGTTTCAGTCTTGAAGCAATGGCTGTAAAAAAAGTAATAACAATTAGTTACTATATGTACAAATAAATAAATAATAACTTACTTTGTAACGTTGTAATATATTTCAGCTAATTTGGTGAGATAACGAAAATGTGTAGCACTGAAAGTAAACGCTGTGGTAATCAAAAGTCGTTCACATATCGCCCATGAAATAGAAGAACCTTCTTCAACGGTTGTACCTCTGCAAAGTTCGTCTAAGATCACTAATGATTTAGAAGTAATTGATTGTAGTATATATTGTGCTTCTTTCATCTGAAAATATAAAAATAAAATATTTATATATTTTTTGTATAAAAGAAAATTTTCATTAATAATTTACCTCAACAACAAATGTTGAAGCATTGCATTCAATGTCATCACGAAAACATATTCTACAAAATATACGATCAGTAATTCGAAATTCTGCTTTTCTTGCTGGAACATAGCAACCAATCTAAAATAAATTAATTAAATTATTTAATTAATATTTAAAATATCTAATAATATTATTATTATATTATTATATTGATCAAAAGTTTGAGTATACCTGTGCCATGATATGTAATAAAACAATTTGTTTTAAATAAATAGATTTGCCACTCATATTTGGACCAATTATTGTATGAAGATTATAAGGTATTGATGCATGCTGTAATATAATGAAATAATTTATATCATATTAATCAGGAAATATATTTTAGAACAAATTTATACTACCACATCGTTCGGTACAGGTCGTTCTGTTCCGAATACTGCCATTATGGGATGTAACGAATCTATTAGTTCTAATCTTGGTCCAAATATTGGTTTTACGTATTCAGGAGATGAACTTATATGAGATAAAGAAATAACTAAATCTAATTCTGCAACGTCAGCACTCAGTTGATAAAGGCAACCAATGTGTTCACGAATGTTCACAAGTAAATCATTCAAAATCCTGTAAATTTTATTTGTATATTAAATTAATCGATATATTTTTCTACGTTAAATAAACAATTGTTTTATTTATAATACCCCCCCCCAAAAAAAAAACATAACTTACGCGTTGCTCATTATGTGAAGATCTTCACAGGCAATTTTACATTGATGACTCAATACTAATAATTTGTTTGTCGTCATAGAATAAGTGTTCTTATTTTTTTGTACCTATTTACAAAAAAAAAAAAATTAAAACATAATTAAAACTAGTTAACAATTATTATTAATATTTAATTTACTTGAACAAATTCCGATGGTAAATTGGATGGTTTGAAATCCATTTGTCGAGATACTTCGGCTAATATATAAAATCCTAAAGATGAATTGCATTCCAATGATAAATTCAATTTATATTGTATCGCTAAGTTTTCGACAAGATCTACAAATTATTACAAACATTTGTTAAATAAAATATCATATATTTCGAAAAGCAAATCTTGAATTAAACTAAAATTCCATTTAAAAGATTAACTTTTCATATCATTTATAAGTTCACAATAAGTTTGTCGTGCAATATCCAACAAATCATTAATTCCTGGCTTAATTGCGAAACATCGTTGCATGTTTGATGACGTATACCCAATCAGGGATCTTGCATCAGAATGTATTATTTGTAAAATTTTATTTTTCATTATTTCAAATTGTGAATTCTCCAAATTCTAAAAAAATATAATCGATACATTGAAAAATTCATTTATAATAATAATAATAATAATCATGTTAATGATTGATAAAATTATTAATAAAACAATTAATACTTTTCGAACTTTAACAAAAAATGAAGCACGACCACTTTCAAGTGCTTCTCGTAATTCTGGTACAATTTCAAGAGAATTTTTTAATAAAAGAACATAATTTAAATTTCTTTCTGCATTTTGTACAGTATTGTTTTGTAAAGTCATCATAGAAAGACTCAAAAGACGATCAGCACCATATAATCTTCTTACAAAAGGCTATAATAATAAATAATTATAATTTGCATCAAAATTATTTGAATAAAATATTTAATAAAAGTAAATATACCTGAACGAGATTGCATAATGTACGATTAGAAACTAACTCAGTAACACTATTTTGACGTTCTATAATTATTTCTTCATTGCAAAGAGGTTGTAAAATAGATGCTCTTAAAAGTCTTCTACCCATTGGGGTAACGCAATGATCCATTGAACTTAAAAGGCTAGCATTTTGTTGACCACATTGTGACACAACTAATTCTAAACTTTGTGCACTTTCTATATCTACAATAAAATCAGAAAAATAAATGAATATGTGTATGTATAAATGTTGGATGTACAAATATTTTATCTTTTTATTGCAATCACCTATTACTGTGGTATTGGGTGAACCTTGGAACTCAATTCTGATTGATTTTGGTGCATAAACGATATGTTGAATAAATTCGATATATTTTAATAAAGCTGCGGCTGCTGCTAACGCGTAATATCTATAATATTAATATTTAATATTTATAATAAATATAACATTGAATATAAATGTACAATAATTAACCCTTTGCATTCGAGAAATTATTTTCGGAAAAAGTCTTCGAATGGAAAGGGTTTAATTTAGCAAATATAATTCCTATCATTACTTTTGTTTCAAAAATAATTCCACTGTCGAATATTCTTTTGCACAATGTGTTTTTACACGATCCAAACCGACAGATTCATTAAAATGAATTCTTGATACCGCAGTGATACATAAATTAGGAAATTTTTCTTTGATAGAAAAATACAATTTATTTCTATTTTTGGTTTCGTTGCACATCGTATCTGGCATTAAAATCTAAAATTTTTATTAATTATATTAAATATACTATTATTTGAAATAAATCATTTTTTTTTTGTATTCTGTTATTAAACTAATTATTTACCTCAATTGGATTAAATATATAAATCTTTGTCAATGTATTTATGTATGTCTGATAATCACTCATTTGACAAAGAATTAAATGCGAATGGTGAATATCCATTGCAGCTATTCCTACTTCTCCTCTTGCTTCTCCACGGCCAGATGTTACAGCTAAATATAATATTCATTATATTTAATTACATTTAATTTATATATATTTAAAAAAATTCAATAGTAGAATTTTTTGAATACGCCTGTTGACAGGCAACATTTTATACACTTCGAATTTCGTAGTTCAACGATTTGATCACTAGATGGAAATAATTATATATTCTACAGAAATCTGTATTATCGATCATACCAATTTAAAAAAGAAATGTACGAAATAAAAAATTCGAAATTAAATCAAATATATTATTAATAAACATTGTGTATATATCTTATTAATAACAATATTAAAATTACCGAGTATGATGCAAGATTCTGTTGATGTATAACTTCCTGGAGTTCTTGAAGTATTTGATCTATATATTGATGAATTATTTTAAAAAATCTTATTGTATTAAAAAATAAAAACATATCGACAAAATTTATTACCCAATACTTCCCCTACGAGTTGAACTTGGAAGAAATGATGAAGTGGATGCACTTTTTATATTTCGATGCACATTCGTTTTTACAGTATTTGAATTTGTGGGGCATAGTTCGACCAATGGTTTTCTAATTCCAAAGTCAAAGCCTATTGAAATTATTAATAAAAAGTTAATTATTATAAAAAAAAATGTTTTTTCTATTATTGGATTAGCACAAAAAGCAAATAAATTAATTATATACGATATTTAGGTAAAACATTGGTCGTCATTTCTCCTAATTTTCCTCGTCCTCTTCCTTTAACTTTTCCTCTCACAGGAGCCGCATTATCGTTGCGTATAACATTCATATTAATTATATTATTCTTTTAACAAATTTAAATATTATTTAATTATTAATAGATAATTGACGTTATTATAATAATAAAATTAAAATTTTCAATGAACTCGTTCGAACGTACACGACAATGTTTCGTTCAATCAATCGGTGGCCATATTGAATTTGCCACATTTAGCGGGATATTTGAATTTGAAATAAGGTGCAGATAAAATTAAATTTTATTGCACTCCCACAGATACAATTAATATTAAATTATTTATAGATAATTGGCGTTATTATAATTACAAGATAAGTATTATCAAGGCATTCGTTCGAACGTACGACGATTTTTCGTTTTCTAATAAATATATACGGCCAGAGGTTCGATCGTCATATTTGGCGGGACCATTATTTGAATTTGAATTATAATTAGAATGAATGAATATAAAAATTAACTTTAAAAAAGATTATCTTATAGTCTCATAGGAAGAATTTTTTATTTACAAATTCAATGCCTTTTTTTTAATCTTTTTTTTTCTTTTTTTTTTTTTTAAATCCGTCCAACGTTACAGAGTTCCGCACAGAACAACAGACTTAAGCGATAATTAATAAATAAACACAATCACAATTACTATTGTTTTGTAATAAATATTATACCGTCGGCCCTCGAAATTTGTTTAAATTACATTCGTATTTACACACGATTCCTAAGTTCTATTTCAACATTAGATATTCCACGTTTATTCAATGGAATTCGATAGGGACAGTTTGAGAAACTCGTATTTTGCTCTTTGATGTAATTTTCTTTTTTTTTTTTGTAAAATGCAGGGCAAGAATTGTAAGAAGTTTTCGTTTATAAAATCTACTTTCAGTAGAAGATATTTAACGCTTGAACCCTTTCAAATGAATTTCGAGTAAATTAGAGTACTCATTCTGGTCCCTAATCCAATCATCGCTCACTTTTAAATCACATCTGTTAAAACTCACATATTTTCGTTTATTTATTTATTAGAGATTTAATAATCATCATCAATGTGATTAATTAATTAAGAAAATGCATCAAAGACTTTGTTATTAATCTTCTTCTTTTTCTTATCTTCGTCATTATCTATTTGGAAATACAATTAAGCATCATCATATTGATTGCCAGATCTGCCCATACATATATATATATATATATGTATATATATAATACAATCCCTCTAAGGGAATATTTAAAGTGCAAAAAATGTTGGCAAGATGTAAATATATCTTGACCACTTTTATTACCTCGAAAATATATATATATATATGTATGTGTATGTGTGTGTACATATGTGTTTTATACTATGTGAAAGCTTAACGTGAAAATTAACGTTTACATAAAACGCAATAGTAATTTTTCTTTTACATTGGTCTTTTAGAATGCAACTGCGATATAAATGACTTTTTTTTTTTTTGTTCTCTTTTATGACGAACGTGATTTAAACATTTAACAGTATATTTCAAAATTCATTGCAAGCTTTCCCATTTCTTATTTTTTTTTTCTTTTTTTTTTTTTTTTGATTCCAAAGCATATGCTTTCATAAGATTAAAATGCATTAACTTGAAAATTAGATTATTAACACATTTTTTTTTTCTCTTTATTTTTCTCATAGCATTATTTTCGTAGTTTAAATTTCTTTCATTTTTTTTTTTTTATAATATATATATATATATATATATATATATATGTTTTTTGAACAAACGTTTTTTTTTATCATACATGATTCTCTTTCTTTCTTTCTTTCTTTCTCTCTTTCTCGGTATATATATATAAACTTAAGCCTTTTACTAGACTATAAAATACCATAACAGCAGTCTCGCACTTATTATTAAATTTAAAATAATCTTGATTACAAACTATGTAATACGCGTCGAAAATATAGTATAACGATTTTGTATATAATATGTGTATAATAATAGATACATAGATAGATAGATATATAGATAGATAGATAGACGCGTAATCATTTTTATTATCACATGGTGTATACTTTATATTTATATATATATATATGTGTGTGTGTGTGTGTGATGAAGAAGTATAGAAAAATTAACTAATTATTAAATTACTTTTTTTTTTATTTGCTTTTTAAGCAAGCTTAATTATTTTTTTTGTTTTGTTTTAATTTTAAAGAGAAGGGCATATGAAATAGAATCTTCGAAGATTTACGAATTTTCATACTTTCACATTCTATCGTTTGAACCCTTATTTTTATATATATATATATAGATTTAGCGCATGTATATATATATATATATATATATATGTGTGTACATATAATAATATGTACAAAATGATGATTAATTATTATTACAATTTGTTTGTTTGTTTGTTTTGTTTTTTTCAACACATAGACAAATGCATCAAAATTCAGCTAATTAATTATACTAAAAACGCTACAACTGTATAAGGGACCTTGTGACACAAAGCCAACGACGCTACACGAGAAACTCACAAATATATGCAAATTGATTATTAAAATATAAATTTGAAGGATTGATTTTTACGTCACGGTATAAAACTATCCTACCGTTCGTGCGGGGCCGGCTTATTATTATATAATTAATATTATTAATATTATTATATATATATATATATTTTCTATATACAAAAATTTACTCAAATCACAATTCACAAGTATGATGTGTGTGGATAATTGACATGATATATAAATACCAAAAAAGCAAGATTAATTATTACTTGCTTTCTTTAATATATATCTTGGAAACATTATATTACTTATTCTTTGTATTCTCGTTTTAATAAAAAAAAAAAAAAAAATCAAATAAATTTCTTCATACCAATGATGCACATTGCATTAATACTCAATACAGTTTTTAATACAATATACAGCAAATCATTACGCGAGTATATGTATCAGATATACATAGACATTCAGTGCTATTTGTTTTACTGTATAAAATAACATAATAATAATAATAATGTTTAATACAATATAATTTATATAACATAACATAAAATGATTTGGTCAGCTTATTAGCATGTTTGTTGTTGTTTTTTTTGCTTCATTCATTTGCAAAACGATATCTAAACTGATACCACATGTAAAGCTGAAGTTTAAAAAATTCAAGTATAAGAATTAATAAAAAAAATTAAAAAAAAATAAAACAATGATTAAAAATGTTCTTTTCTTTTTTTTTTTGGTTTCGTATCCATGATCCAACGCAATAATATTATTTTTGTTTGTTTGTATAAAGAACTGATGATTCATAAAAATTCTTTGGCACGGATGAATAATTTTTCTTTCCTTTTTTTTTTTGTTTTTTTTTTTTCGTTTATATAATATATGCA